AAAAAATTATTCAGCCCATTTGAGAAAGTTGCTTTCTTAGATAAGAAAGACTGACCTGAATCATGCAGATCTTCATACTCATATCTTTTACGTAGAAGCAGAAGTGAAAGAGGGAATGATTTGCAAGGGAGGAATATGCTTCGGCCTTCAGTCACGCTCCAATCTATGAAGTTTTCTATAGTTTTTTATCACACTATAGGATTTTCCCTTCTGGCCTCCAAGTCTGAAACTTTCTAGCTCTGCTTAATTATCCTGATTTCTTTCGGCCACTTTTTTTTGTAAAAATCTGACCTATTTCTTTACCAAAGAAAATTTAATTGGAGTGTATATGCTCTATGAGGATGATTCAAATATAAATTTAACTGTAACAAAAGATCACCAATTTCACTTTTCTCTCAAATCAATGAATAGCATACATTTGTTTTGACATAGTTTATGTTGAAATGGCGGAGAAGGGAGCCCTGAGAAGAAGATCAAGATCTTTTGCTGGAGAGGAAGAACAGCAGAAGTTACTCAGTACGAGAAGTCTCAAGTATCAACTGGATCAACTGATGATGTTTTGCCGTGGCAAGGCTATCAAAATATTTTTAATCGGTGGAACAGGAGTTGGGAAATCTCACTTGACGAATACTCTAATCAGTGAACGGCTTGCTGCGGAGGGAAGAGATTTTTATTGAATTATTAAAGAATAGAAAGCTCTAGTACCATTTTGATCATGCACTTATAAACGTGATATTGGAATAAAAAATTGAAAATTGATTTAAGGATTCGTACATGAAAATTGAGCTATACGAAGTGGGAATCAATTGCCCTCGTAACATTCTTCATAATGATATTGCAAGGTAGGAGCAGAGGGCATGAAGTGCAGCAAGCGTGAGGAAAAATACCCAAGTAACGTGACAATAATTTAGTTCAAGCTAAAATCGGTTCCAGGTTAGTTCCAAAGGTCTTGAGAGTTCAAGACTTTCTATTGGCGAGATATTCACGAGAAGGATCTTCCTTCAGCCTCAGGTACAAACCCTGGTACTAATATGAACAATTTGTCTTAAAGAGTTTGTTTCCATAATATCTCGATCATTATATTATTATTAGTATATCCTTGAAGACTATGCAGCTTAAGTCCTATGATTTATAATTTTAGCTGAGAGCTTATGAATTTTTAAAGAACAACGTGAAGATTACGGTGTTTGACATTCCAGGACTGGCAGATACGAAAGGCAGTGACGAAGAATGTATAAGAAAGATCACAGAGAAAAATTTTGTTCTGTACTGAGATGAGTGGTACAAGATTTCGTAAAGACGACTTAAAGAAACAATGGAGAAGCTGTCGATTTGTGGATGCCACAAATTCAAAGAAATTACTCGTCATTAGTTTCCATCTCTTACCAAACTCAAGATGAACTTTATAAAGACATAGGGAGAGTTAAAATGATTTAGGGCTTGATTATAATGGTTTCCATTTGTTTCGTATGAATCATTAATACTTTATAACCAAGCAAACGATCTGTTCTGATATAGTGAAATTTCCTTGTATAAAGACAAACAAATGGTACGGATGGTCACATTGCTACAAATAGCTCTTTTATCAATTTGATGCAAATAATGTTCCAATGTGAAAAAGAGCAAATTTGACTTAGAAATAGACAGATCACTGAGGGGGCAGAGGAGTGAACTGTTAGAAATTGAAACAGTGGATAAGATTGAACGAAACAATTACAGCAGCACAATCACAGCAGTATTTCCATGTTAAATTTAGTAAGTTGGCGACTATGTATATCATTGTTGATATGGGGTTATTTATTACATCCATCCCTACAATGACCATAGTGCTATTAATTATCTTCAAAACTTTCTAGGAAACTGTTTATTGAGTCACAAAATACCAAATAACAACGGAAGAAACACAATAGAAGATGAAGTGTAATGACCGTGTAAACGTCAAACTCAGTCACAACAGTTACGCTTCCCCAGACCTCTTCCCCGTTCTTCGCCTTCGACTTGTTTTGTTAACGTGCTATAATGCACTAGATCACTAAGGTAACTTACACTGCCCTCTTCGAGACCGTCTGAGATACCGGTGTGGTTGTTAGACATCTTCACGAAAGACTTTGAGATTGAAACCCGGAAGTACAAGAATAAACGAGCATTTGCCTTGTCTTTGAAGGTAGGCTGTATGAATTTATTTATGCGACTGATTTGCATTGATGGATATCTAACAGTACATCACAGACATTCAGCGTTGCTAAAGAAATTCTGCAAAGATATGCCATGCAACGTGTAACGAGAGTCTTACAAGCACCTGCCGTCTGTCGCGTATTCTTTTGTATCTTTCGATACGGTTTACATTTGTTCAGGTATGCACTAGTTGTCGCCGTTACGAATTAAACAACACTGGTTGAAATAGCATCTTTAACATCTTACGATACGTGATCCACGTTTGGAGAAGTTCGAGCCGATTTTGCGGGCCAAAATGGAGTAAAATATAGATAGCTCAAATTACTTTCGCTTGTCATCAAGAAGAAATAGTCTTTAACGGGTTTTGGACAGTTTTAAACTTATTCCGAAACATTTTTTCAACGAATCTTTGTTCGATAATTTGTTGTAAGATGTTTGTTTTTTTATCAAGAATCCTCGCGTGCTTTTCTCGCTACCAGCGTCGTTTAATCAAAGACTGACAGATGAGGTTACCAACAAAGGCAACAGATGACTAAAATATTGACCAAAACTCAGCGTCTCATAGTCACAAAGATAGCATGTTTGTATAATTTAAAAGAAAAAGTAAGAGTACTCTGAAAGCGAAGTAAGGTTCCAAGAACCTCGCGTCCTTTTCTCGATAACCGCGTTGTTTGATAACGACTGACAAAAATAAGATTAATAACAAAAGCTCACAGATTACCAAAATATTGAACAGTACTTGGCTTATAAGGTCACAGAAACCTTAGCTTGTTTGTACAATTTGATAGAAAATCCAAGAGCACTCTTAAAGCGAACTGAGTTTCTAAGAATCCTCGCGTCCTTTTCTCAAGAAAAGCTTTATAAGATTACATGACTGATAGATAAGGTTACGAGGTCAACGGATTATCAAAACATCGACTAACATTCAATACCTTAAGGTCACAAATATAGCTTGTTTGTATAATTTATATGTATAAATAAGCGCACTCTCAATGTAAACTAAATAGAGAAAAAAACGCAGAACACTCAAATTATTGACCACCGAATTTGATCAATATTAAATACTTTTTAGATTGAAGAGGATGAAATACAGGTTGAAGGTTTGAATGCTTGAAGTGATCAATGTATCAAAGTGTCAATACCAAAGAAAATCGGATGAGGTGAAATTAGCGCAAGCAAAGTTAAGATTTATTTAAATTTTCCTTGCCGTGTAAAGTTTCTTGCATTCTACTCTTCTGTCATGTAGCACATAACCAATTGTCAGGCGACTGATCCCAAGTGGAAATAAATGACTCAAAACCGTTTAAACAAATCACCTCTTTAAAGGCTGTGATACGAATGACGCACTTGTAAGCGAAAATCACTTAATGATCCAATTGATGCCAGATGCTGTCCGAAAAGTATTTATGTTGACGTCATAATCTTTTGGCTGAAGAAAACAAACAACGTATTATTATTTTGACAATGCTTACTAAATTTTTCATTCAACTTCTCTATCCATCATGGTTCGGTCAATTTACACATGGTTTATTTTCCTCCTCTTTACATTAATAAAAATTAATTTATTTCATTTACTATCAAGAATGGCACAGGAAGGGACCCCAGATAAAAGTTCCGATGCCTCCGCAACTGAAGTTAGTCAGATTATATTTGGTGGAAAGAACTTGAAGTATCAGATCGAACAGTTTCTTAGCTCCGGTGGCCAGACTGTTAATATTCTACTGAGTGGCAAGACAGGAGTTGGCAAGTCACATTTGACAAATGCGCTCATTGGAGAAAACCTTGCGGTAGAAGGATATGACATCGACCCACAAACTGATGACGTAAGCTACTTTGATATCGACAGTTAATTCACCTTTTAAACTATTATGAGGTAATTTCATTAACGGGTTACTGTGTATTACTTGTAGTTGGGAAAAGTAATGATAATATTTTGCATCCTTTTCAGCAGCATGTCTAAACTCCCTCTGTTCTTTAATACTTGAAATCAAGAAAGAATTATGGAGTGCTTTTGCAGGTATTAGGTAAAACGTTATTTGAGGGATAAGAAAAAAACCACTTTCCAAGGTCTCATTGAGAAACAGGGCGCACTTAAGAATAAAAAAAATTTTCATGCATTTCTCTCGTGTAACTTAGGTAACATTCCAGGTCAGATCATAAGTAAATCACTGTTAGAGTTAAATAGCCTAATTATTTCCTGTTTATTCCCCTTAGATAACTGCTTACGAGGTTGTCAGAAACGGCGTAACTATTACAGTGTTCGACACTCCAGGACTTGCAGACGCAACCGGCAGTGATGAAGAATACCTGCGGAAAATCAAGGAGAAAGTAACCCACTTAGACTTGTTTCTATTCTGCACTGAGATGACCAGTAGGCGATTCCGGACCGACGACTTGGAAACGATGAAGAAGCTTACAGAAGCCTTGGGGGAGAAACTTTGGGAACATGCTCTTGTGGTTTTAACCTTTGCAAACGAAGTTCCATTATCGCCAACTAAGAAGACGGGTGACGTACCTGAAGTAACCGTTTTCAATAATCGCTTTTTAGATTTCAAGAAAGCGATAAACAAACATTTGGTTGCCATAGGGGTACCAGAGATCACCGTGACTAATGTGCCATTTACGCCAGCCGGAGAGTTGGATGATCCAAGACTTCCAGATAGAGAAGACTGGTTGACAGCATTTTGGATCGCAGCTTTCAAACGTATCAACAGGAACGCAAAAGCTGCTTTCCTAATGGCAAATGTCGATCGCATTTCACTTTTCTCCACCTCTGGTGAAGGAAACGAAGAAAGCAAAGTAAGGAAAGATGGCAACGTTTGTCAGTCTTTAACCATCGAAGAAAGGAATGCAATCAAAGAATCAGGAGGAAAATTGAAAGAAAGTGGCTTTGACAAAAAATTGAGCCGCTGTTTTGAGGAAATTGAGATGAAAACTAAAGAGGAGTGCCCCACATCACCTGGCCAAGGTGCAAAGGTGTCAGGCCCCTCCATCAATGCGAACGAAACCTTCTCTGAAGAAATCTTTAAGGAGATAGTAAGCGATGTATCGGGGCAATTCATTGTTGAGCTAACCAGTACTAAGAAAACTAAGACTTCGGATGAACCCGATGAGGAGTGCCCCACATCACCTGGCCAAGTTGCAAAGGTGTCAGTCCCCTTCATCAGTAAGAACGAAACATACTCTAAAGACGTCAAGAAGGAGATGTTGGCCAATGTAACAGGGCAATTCATCGGTGAGCTGACCAGTGCTAAGAAGAAAACTGAGACGTCGGATGAACCTGAAGACGAGTGCCCCACATCACCTGGCCAAGTTGCGAAGGTGTCAGGCCCCATCATCAATAGAAACGAAACGTGCTCTAAAGACGTCAAGAAGGAGATGTTGGCCGATGCAACAGGGAATATCCTCGGTGAGCTAACCACTGCCAAATTTGGTGGAAAGTACGGAATATTCCTCCGCTTCCTTTTGAAGTATCTTAAGAAGCGTTTCCCACTTTTCGTTTCAAAGCCTAGACTAGAAGGCATGAAGAAATGATCACGTGGTGACCAAATAGAGAGAAAGAGAGAAACTGTGTGCCTTTAAAAATATCAACCAGTTAGACTATGAACATATAATCTATAAATAAAATTGGACTCTGTATCCTCAAAAAGGTCATGCCACGTTTCTGAAATCAAACGAGCTGTTGGAAAAAGGTTCAAATAGATAGTATATTATATGTAGGCTCGTTAGAGATTCAAGCGACTTTTTGTTTCAAGACAAGACGAGTTAAAGTTGCTGAGTACAATGAAGTTATTTGATACAGAGGACCGATTTATAAAGCTTTGAAAAATGTATTTTGTAATTTTTTTTAAAATTCATGTTATTAGTAACACCATCGGAAGAAAACGATTAAAACAGGAAAAGATGGACGAAAGCATTTACCAGGCGTTTGTGGACTTTGAAAGGAGAAAGCCTTCTTCGACTCCATCGTTGTTTAATTTCCTCATCACACAGTTCTGAAGAGCAGACAAAGCCCCCTTGATTCTATATCCTCTGTGCTTACTTTTACCTGTTTCATATCAAGCTTCTAGCTTTTATGAGACAGACCATTTTTTAGCACCTGAGGAGATGGGGGGGGGGGGGGGGGGGGGG